GCACGCATGGCTAAGGTTAATTTTACTCTCACTGATATTTCAGTATGAACTAACTAACCTCCCTTAGCCATGAATGCATGGCTAACCCTCATAAATTGGGTTAGTTTTTATCATACATTTCTTATCAATTTTCTAGAATTCCAAATTATTCCAGATTCAAATAATTCCTTGTTTATATAGGTTCATTGCAAGGGATGATTATTTAAGTCAGATTGGGTTCACTTGCCCTTAACCTCATTTCATGTTCTCAGTTTTAGTTTTCTGGGTCTGTTTTTTGTTACTACAAGCAATAGTTCAACATTATTTGGGGGTATAGATAGAATGATTGTAAGGCATACATTATAATATTAAGAGATGTGGTATGATTGCCAATGGGCAAAACCCATACCATATAGTCAACTATAACATTATTCATGTCTGTCTTGCAGGGTTCTTCTGACCTTGACCTTGTTCTCATTTTTTATAGTCAACTCTTAGTTTTGGTGATTAGGTCTGCTTCTTTGATACTATAAGAACTAGATCTGCTATATTTGGTTTATAAAATAACTCTTCTGTATTAGACCTTGACTTTATTTTCGTTGTTCATTGGTCATGCTTAATTTAAAAATAAGAAGATGTGATATGATTTCCAATAAGACAACTCTCCACAAGAGACCAAATGACATAGAAATTAACAACTATAGGTCACCATACGGCCTTCAACAATGAGCAAAACCCATACTGCATAGTCAGCTATAAAAGGCCCCGAAATGACATGTAAAACAATTCAAATGAGAAAACTAATGGCCTAAATTATGTACAAAATAATGACCAAAAACAAATTTGATACACAGCAACAAACAACAACTACTGAATTACAGGCTCCTGACTAGGGACAGGCACTTACAGAATGTGGCAGGATTAAACTAGTTTGTTGGCGCCATACCCTCCCCCTAACCTGGGACCAGTGTAAAGGCACAACATAAGTCAGTTTCACATATACATGAACCGGTACTTTAAACAATACCAGTAAGTCAACTGTATTTGTGTATATGTCCAAGATAGTATTCTGTCTGGTATACCATACAGCAAATAGGCAATATCCTTACATTTTGATCTTTTCTCCTGTTTCATAGCAAGTTCAAATACATTCTATATTTTCCTACAATGTACAAATATTGTTTTTTATCCTGCAATTTAACATTTATGCTTATAATAGAAAGACAAAGGATATGGGGTATCCATATAGTTTTTTTTTATTCCAAACAGTTGCATTTTGTTTTGAATGAAATCAACATGACTTGAAAGCTGACTGCAATGAGGACCCCCAAATTGAACTGTGACGTAACCAGTAGTTTGAATATAACTGGTCGCTCATTACAGAAGGGGGATACCAGGATACTATGAGCGTACACTATACTTTTAATGCTTCATGTTATCTGTCAACCTGTATAAGTATAGTAGAAGGTTGATTGCAGGATGAAAAATAATAATGGGTAGTGAAATACTGTTAACAGTATTCATAAGCAAAAAATTGAGATCTACGAATCATTTCATTGTTCTTTTATATTAAGCTTTCTGGAGGACCATTATATTTTGGTGAGGAGAGAGTGGGGCCTATAAAGAATTTTTATCCAGATTTTCATGTAAAAAAATAATGTGATCCTTATACATTAAAGTTGACCAATGCTGTTTATTTGAAAACAAATAATTTGTTTCTTAAAAAAAAAGTTTTGATCTTGAATAAGAGAAAAAATAAATGTACCAAGTGAACAATTCATCGTCCTAAGAGCCTATACCCCGGTAGTTTTATTTGTATTCTTTGTAAAAATAATCTACATCTGTCTGCAAATGAAATTTATATAGCAATAGATATAAGAAGATGTGGTATGAGTGCCAATGAGACAACTCTCCATCCAAGTCAAAATTTATAAAAGTAAATCATTATAGTCAAAGTATGGTCTTCAACACGGAGCCTTGGCTCACACCGAACAGTAAGCTATACAGGGCCCCAAAAATTACTAGTGTTAAACCATTCAAACGGGAAAACCAACGGTCTAATCTATATAAAAAACGAGAAATGAGAAACACTTATGAACCACATCAACAAACGACAACTACTGAACATCAGATTCCTGACTTAGGACAGGTGCAAACAAATGCAGCGGGTTTAAACGTTTTAATGGTACCAAACCTTCACCCTTTTTCTGAAACAAAAGTGTAACATCACAACATAGAAAGACACACTATACAAATATAGCCTTTGTATGAGGTCGATACAAGGATATATTGACCTGAAAGAAGTATATTGACTGAGGACGAAGTCCGAGGTCGATATACTTCTTTGGGTCGATATATCCTGTATTGACCTCATACAAAGGCTATATTTGTTATATTATTAATTTTCGACCATATTTGTATCAAAATCGTCATTTGATTTTGTTGGAATTTTATAGATATTATATTGTCTCCTTGACAATAACAACATATTAGTTGTTATTTCATTTACTTTTATTTTGTTTGTTTGACATCTTATGTATTTGAAAAAAAAAATTGTCAAATAATCGATCACAGATGTCATTTGTTTCAAAACGTTGAACAATATCCTGAAATTTATTACATGACGTCACAAAGTATATCGGTTTTTAGATATTCTAAAAATAACCGTGCAATATGCTTTTTGCTGTGCAATATGCTTTTTGCTATCCGCCGTTTTCTCTCTACCTTCGAAAATATAGTTTAACATGTGACTATCCCTAAACGAATCAAATTTGTTAAAATATACGAATTAATAATATTATAAAATATCAACTGAAATAGCTTAACTCAATCAAAGGACATATTAACACCAAGGAACATACACTGAACAAGTATGGTTTCAAAATGTACATGCATGGGCATCAAAACTCAACCAAAATTTTTGAATTCATATTCTGTCCCACTCGAAATAATTTACCACGTCATAAAAAATAAGCAGAATTAAATTAATTTTAAATTAGTTTTGGGTGAAGACAGTTGGCAATTTTATAATATATTTTGTAGAAGAATGGATTGGACATGACATACAGGCATACCAAGGAAACCAATTAAAAGACTTAGACCTTTCACTCCTCAGTAAAGCAATAAATATTTCAAAAGCAAATAGTGTTGCATTGCAACTTGGATTAAGTCAGTCAGATTTTGAAATAATTACGTATCAAACTGGAGCAGACTTATGTTACCTCATTTTGTATAAATGGAGAAACAAGACCGGTAATGCAGCAACTCTTGAAAAACTAATTGGAAACCTGTTCTGTGCCTGGGAATCTGATAATGGTAGTGTGTTTACTGCAGCATTAAAGTCTGCAATTCTAAAAGTAATGAAATGATACTGGAACGTTTAATGTGTGCTTTCTGGGGGATACAGAAATGGTGATGTCATTCCGTCCAACATTGTAAGTGCTCTCACACATACAGTTCTCATCAGATTGTAATGAAACTTATGTCAAAGGTTCACATCAGCTATTTCTGAGAAAATTCCAGTATATGGACTTGTTGATAAAAAGAAATTATCATGTTCATTTTTGTTGTTTTATTGAATATTTAACAATAAACAAAAGCACTCAGTCACTTACTGATAACAAAATTAAGTTTAGAATAAATAAAACTTCAGAAATCTTTTATTTTGAGGTAGGAAAATATATCATTTATAAAATGCAAGGACGGAAAAAATTTCATTATGTTAGTATTTATTCATTTATTTATTGTAGTTAAGGGACCTGTTAACCCCATATTATCAAGGAAAAAAACCAGATAATACATAAATTAACAAACAAACAAATATTTTGCATATAAACAGTATGTATCAAAAGAATAAATTTTTACAAATGTGTAGCCTATTTTGAAATGCTTTTTACAATTGCAAACATTTGTCAAAGTTCGAAAGAGGTAAAATTGGCCAACTTATGTCAAATGTAAGATAATCTTTTTAAGTTTCATGAAAAGATTACAACTCAATTGTTTAATAACAGAGAAGGAAGAAATGATATACATCTTAAATTATTACATGTATAACATAAACTGTTTTTTCATGTTTATATTTTAAAAATCAAAGTCTCAGTCACATTCAATGGTGTTTCTCAAAAGTTTCAAATCTGATCCCAAGATTATCACATTAATATGACTGAAAGTAACATAATATTAAGTTTGAGATCTGGTTTTATATTATATTGAAATGTTGTTAAAACTATCATTTTTGTCGAGCCAGCAACATTTATGTTGTGAAAGTGAGACATAGTTATCTTAGATTCAGGCGTTGGCATCGGCTTCAGTGGCATCATCATTTAGGTTCAGTCTGTGGTTCATTTTTTTTAGGAATAACTTTGTCAAACCTTCATGGAATTTTATGAAATTTGGACAGAATCTTGTTTATGACCAAAATACAGAATTCAGAGCAAAAGTTTGAAAAATTTATATTTTTGTTTTTTGTATTTAACTGATGAATGGACTTTGTTTTTTTTTTTTTTTTTACATTTAACAAGTAGATACAGTCTTAGGTTAAATTTTGTTACACATCAATTACTTTGTCAAATCTTCATAGAATTTTATGACACTTTGGCAGAATTGTTTTTATGATTAAGAGATAATGTCTGATGCAAAAATATCGTTTTTTTCATTTTCAGTATTTTTCTGGTAGATGGAGTTTTTTTTACAGTTCACATTTACAGACAGTCTGGGTGGGATTAAACCTTTTTGGTAAAAAAACATGATAGATTTATTAAACCTCCATGGATTGTTATAAAACTTGGACAGAAGCTTGTCTTCAAGACCATGAAATAGCTCCTAAAGCAAAAGTTTAAATTTCTATTTAAATTCTGTAATTTACTGATAAATGGACTCACTTTGTAAGTCAACATTACACTTTAACACTGACAGCAGTAATTGCAAGCGAGACACAGGGTTCGGCAGAACCTCTTACAAATTTTTTTCTATCACTAAACAATTGTCATTGACAGAAGCGTATGCATTATTGTCAATGAAGGTCAAAATCATATCTTGTAATTTATTGCAATTATATCATAGGCTAGCAACATCAAAAATATAAATGTCGGAGGTTCACTTTTAGGTGTTTGCAGTGACAATGTGGACAGCTTATAAATTTGAAAAAGTATCTTTGAAATTTTGCAAGTTCAGAAATTTTTCACTGTTTTTATTATTGCAAAAATTGTTTTTTATTATTGCGAAAATTAATACTCGGTAGCTTTTACAAAAATGAAAACACACATTTGAAATTATTATATGTATGCAGCATTTCAGGAATTTGTAATAATTAATATCATATTTTTGTACATTACTCAACAATCGCAATAATTTTTGCATCCAAGCATTTCTGATTCAATGTACAGTACATGTGCAAAACATGTAATATTTTGAATATTGTTTTTCTAATAATAAATAACTTGTATATGGTAATTCAAACTCATGTGTAAGCATGTCTATATAATGCAGCAATGATATCAACAATCCTTCTCATACTTTACAAAATCAGAGGAACATCGCTTTTATGGCTGTTCTTCTGTTTAAAATCAGTCTTGATACTTTATAATTATATTTTATTACTCTTCATTGTATATTGAGATTATATTTATGTTCTTGGTTTTTATTTCATAACATTTTATATTGTTCTAATACTAAATTGTGATTTAAATTGTATTGTATCAGTGCATAATTTTTATGAATTTTACATGCAATTTCTATGAATTGTCCCTTGTCATTTATTTTATTATATAGATCTTATTGTTGCTGTAATGATATTTCCCCATATTTCAATATAAAAGTGTATTGTTTTGTATAAATACAGCCTTTCTTTTTTTCCCTTGCAATGATAGACTTGGAAGTGAGACTGTGTCCTACATCATTATCCATGGTATCAACCAGATTCGGTTAAACCGGAAACATAATTATTATCTCTTAGTTTAGTGTATTAAGTTTTTCAATACTTTCTTATCTTATAAACAGATTGTACAGTTTCAAGTTTACATTTTGTAATTTTTAATTCTTTGGCAATTTTTCTGTTTTTTTGCCCATTATTTTATATTACTAACATTCTAACAGCCAATTATTCTCCATTCTATATTCTTTAAAGTTTTAGGTCATTTTTCTCTTTCCTTGATTATTTTATGACCCATTATTCTCTATTCTGTACACCCAATCTAAACCCTCATTTAAGACCTTATGTTTTCCTGAAAATCCAGCAAATTTGTTACTTTAATATTATAAACTGTAATTTCAGGAATAAATTTGAAGTTGAGTTTGAAATATTGTGAAAAAGTAGTCCTGATGAAGGTTAATCCAGAAAATGGCTCAGAAGCGCCAAATTTATTAAGTGTTGCTTTCATATACTTTTATTGATAATTACATTTTAATTTACAATTGTAATATTCTACTGTAACATGTGCAGGTATCATATAATCAATCACACCTTATTGTCAATTATTGAATGTTTGTATATTGTATAACTGTAAAGGAGTAGGCCTGGTAAGACCCCTGTTTGGCCCCAAAATATAGCATTTTTACAAATTTGTTGAAAATGTAAACTCTAGCTATTTATTGGAAAGTTGAATACTTTTGTTACATAAATATTGGCTGTTTTTGGACAATAAAATACACATGCATCATGTACTAGCAACATTATTTCATGCAAAATTACTGAAATTTTAGCATTTGTGCTAATAATTTTTAGAAGCTTTTTGTCTAAAATGGAAGTAGCCGCACTTGTGTCAAATCTTAATATTTGAATATACATGTATGTAGTATTTGATGATACTACATAAGATGTATAAAGGTTGAGACAGAACACGAATGCGGCCACTAACATTTTAGACAAAAACCATCTGAAAAGAGACGCTTTATAGCATATTAGGTAGATTTTCATACGACCGCAAAAAAAATTTGTGGTCGTATATTGGTATGACGTTGGCGGCGTCATCGTCGTCGTCCGAAGACGCATTGGTTTTCGCACTCTAACTTTAGTTTACGTGAATGGATCTCTATGAAATTTTACCACAAGGTTCAATACCACAAAAGGAAGGTTGGGATTGATTTTGGGGGTTATGGTACCAACAGTTCAGGAATTAGGGGCCAAAATGGGGCCAAAAATAAGCATTTTTGAAAGTTCCAGGCATAACTTGTGTGTTAGTGTATGGATCTCTCTGACATTGTACCACAAGGTTCCATATCACAAAAGGAATGCTGGGATTGATTTTGGGGGTAATTGCCTCAAATTTTAGGAATTAGGGGCCAAAAAAGGGGCAAAAAACAAGCATTTTTCTAGTTTCATGACAATAACTTGTGTGTAAGTGTATGGATCTTTCTGAAATTGTACTACAAGGTTCCATATCACAAAGGGAAAGCTGGAATTGAGTTTGGGGGTAATTGCCCAAAATGTTTAGGAATTAGGGGCCAAAAGGGGGCCAAAAATAAGCATTTTTCTACTTTCCAGACAATAACTTGTGTTCAAGTGTATGGATCTCTCTGAAATTGTACTGCAAGGTTCCATACCACTAAAGGAAAGGCTGGGATTGATTTTGGGGGTAATTGTCTCAAAATTTTTTAGGAATAAGGGGCAAAAAGGGGGCAAAAAAACAAGCATTTTTTCTAGTTTCCAGACAATAACTTGTGTGTAAGTGTATGGATCTTTCTGAAATTGTACAACAAGGTTCCATATCACAAAGGGAAAGCTGGAATTGAGTTTGGGGGTAATTGCCTAAAACGTTTAGGAATAAGGGGCCAAAAGGGGGCCAAAAATAAGCATTTTTTTCTACTTTCCAGACAATTACTTGTGTTCAAGTGTATGGATCTCTGAAATTATACTGCAAGGTACCATACCACGAAGGGTAGGCTGGGATTGATTTTGGGGGTAATTGCCTCAAAATTTTAGAAATAAGGGGCCAAAAAGGGCCAAAAAAACAAGCATTTTTCTAGTTTCAGGACAATAACTTGTGTGTAAGTGTATGGATCTTTATGATTTTGTACAACAAGGTTCCATATCACAAAGGGAAAGCTGGGTTTGAGTTTGGGAGTAATTGCCCTAAACGTTTAGGAATTTGGGGCCAAAAAGGGCGAAAAAACAAGCATTTTTCTAGTTTCCAGACAATAACTTGTGTTCAAGTGTACGGATCTCTCTGAAATTGTACTGCAAGGCACCATACATTGTAACACAAAGGGAAGGCTGGGATTGAGTTTGGGGGTGATGAATCATAAGGGGGTTCAAAAAATTTGAGGGGGGATTTTTTCCTTTTTTTTCTTTAAAAGAAAATTTTCCATTTTAAATTGGTTGTTTCTGATTTATATATAAAAGCAAATAATAATGATATGGTTTGAAAAGGTAAATTAAAAATTTTTTAAGTTCTTAGACCACATTCATTCTGTGTCAGAAACCTATGCTGTGTCAAATATTTAATCACAATCCAAATTCAGTGCTGTATCAAGCTTGAATGTTGTGTCCATACTTGCCCCAACAGTTCAGGGTTCGACCTCTGCGGTCGTATCAAGCTGTGCCCAGCGGAGCATTTTATATATATTTAAGCTTGCATTTGAGGGTCAAATTTTAATGACCAAATCAGTTCAAATCTTTTACATAAACTAATTAAATCGACTGAAGTAGACACTTAAGTGTTTAAAAAATGTCAAAAATCTTTCATCAGATGTATTTCAAATTTTAGGCCAAATATAGCTTTACTGGACCGGACCTTCTCCTTTACTGAATTTTCAGTTATTAATCATGAAAAATATTTTTATATTAAATTTGTTGAATGGGCCTCTTTCTTGTTCAGTTTAATTTGAAGTTAGTGTTTTTTGTCATTAGTATAGATCAGTAGAATTATTGAAATATTTTTCAGTATAACTTAAAAACATGCTACGCTCCTTTTGCTAAAAATTGTTACATGTGTGTGATTCACTGACAAAATTTTAAAAAAATAATCCCTACAGAAAAATAAAATGTCGAAGATCAAAGATTGCAAAGTTGTGATATAAAGAGTGCAATTATATAAATAAAACAATCAACATGTTTTAGTTAATTTATTTTACCGTACTTTAATTGATCAAGGTATCATTTTTTGTCAAACAGTGAGCACAATAATCGGTCATATTTGTTTTTTCGTAAATTGTTTTGTTATAAATTAGGCCATTAGTTTTCTCAATTGAATTGTTTCAATCTTTCATGTCGGGACCTTTTATAGCCAACTATACGGTATGGGTTTTCCTCACAAGGCCGTATGGTTGCCTATATAATATTGAGAGGTCCCATCATGTTAAAGTCATCACCAATGAAATGAGTCAATACAGTAACATGTGCAAGTCATCACCAATGAAATGAGCCAATACAGTAACATGTGCAAGTCATCACCAATGAAATGAGCCAATACAGTAACATGTAGAAAAAACTATATGCAGATCTCTTGATGTTTATTTATGCTTTTATTCTGTGGTAGGATGTTTCTCTTATTGATGTTACACCACATTACTTTTCTCATAATTATGTACCTTTTTAAAAATAATTTGTCGATCTGTCCTTGAATCTTGAAAGTTCATTCTTTAACCAATGAATGGATTTCAAGGAGAAATCATTTCAAAGAATTATAGCATGTTACCACGAATTTCAATTTAAACACAAATATTTATTTTAAAAAGACCATAGTTTCATTATAAGATGTGATCATACAGGTGTGACCGATAATTGGCAGATTCCATATAAGAAATTGAAATGTCTGTCAAAATGAATAAATAAATAAAAATAATAATTACTGTTATTTTAAAGATAATCTGTGAATGTTTTGAAGAATAATGATGTTAGAAGAAATTATAAAAATAATTTTTGGATATGATTGTTTCCATTTAAAGTAGAAATGATTAAAAAAAGTTGAAAAAATGCAAAGATTTTGACAGAATTAACTCCCATTTTTTTACACAATGTTTATGTGTTGCAATGCTTTATGTTGACACTTGTATACTGGTATTTACTAGTGTAGTCTGCTTATTCAAACATCCCTGTTCCCAAATTTGTTACTTTTTTTAGTCAAAAACATCTGTGATATATATTTTTTTTCACTTTCAAATATCTTGCTTTATAGCTCAGTGTCTGTCAATAAATCTTATGTCAGGAACATCGCTGTAAAAACTTTCAAAATCATTGTAGGTTCCAATATATGCCAGTTAAAACTGTAAGTCATGCTGTGCATAAGAAAAAACACATGTTGATTCTTTCATTTAACTTTATTCAAGCAATAGTTTTAACTTATATGTTTCCTACATAAGATCTGTCAAACTTGTTTTCTTATGTCTGAAACATTTGAATGTGCTAACAGTTAAAGTTCTTTGACCTGTAGTGAAATCTTGTTAGATGTTAGGCTGCAGTAATTTCCAGGAGTTTTAAAAATGACTTTCAACTAGGATTTGATTTCCAATGTCTGTCAAAAAAAACAAATATATATTGTCTGTCAAAATATCTAATGTATGAAAAATCTTATGTCAGAATCAAGTCTGTCAAAATCTTATGTCAGAAACCCAATTTGTCTGTCAAATCTTATGTCATAAATAATAAAGTCTGTCAAATCTTATGTCAGAAAAAATAAAGTCTGTCAAATCTTATGTCAGAAAAAATAAAGTCTGTCAAATCTTATGTCAGAAACAATAAAGTCTGTCAAATCTTATGTCAGAAACAATAAAGTCTGTCAAATCTTATGTCAGAAACATAATATTTAAGGCTTCGTTTATTTAAAAAGGATGATGCTCATAATTTTTTTTTTGGTCAAATTGTCTTTATCTTTATTAGTAAAGCATGTATTCAAAAACAGAAGTTCATTGCTTATGATTTTTGCCTAACGTGCTTATGGGAGTTGTTTCACTTTCTTATATGGAATCTGCCAATTAAGATATTGAGGTATCATACACGTGAACTATATATGCCTTCCATGCAATTTCCGAAATTCAGTATGCAAACGCTTCAAATTTGGGTATTTAAGTCCGGCGTTTTAAAAAAATTATTCATTCTCTGTGAACATGGTACGAATATCAGAGGCTCAAAGATGGCAAATTATCAGCATGCGGTCAACAGGGATGCAGAAATAACAATGATCCTATGGTTTAATGCAATCAGCAGGCCAAATGTGTATTAGATTTGATAGACGAGCGTCATGACATTTAAATAAGGCATCATCTCAAAAGTATGAATTTATATTGACTCAATCAGCATAATTATGAGTAGCAATGCTAAAAAACTATTTGTTTAAGCAAACAATTGTAAGTGACGGTCTTTCCACCTTTCCCTGTCATAAATGTTTACCGAACATGTTTTACTCCCAACAACTGATGAAATGACCCTTCCTCCTCCTCCTATATCAGAGCTAGGTTGGGGACCAGGTTTTCGATTAAATACACGGGCTGGGTTTCTAAGAACATACGAAAACGAAACTACTTTAAGAATATTTTTAAGATTCAAATACGATTAGAAAAAAAACATAATAGTAACAAATTTAAGAAGAAGGTCAGATTTCTATACAAATGAAAACAAAATGCACACAAAACAAATAAACAACACATAAATTCCGTGTGTCCCTAGAAAAATAGAAAATTTAAAAGGTACATGCAAGGACAATTTTGTAAGGGAGGGAGTGTTCAATCTTTGCACCGTTCCTAGAAATACCATTATTTGAATACAAATTACTGACATGTTGCAATTACCTGAACAGTGTGATTTAAGGGGATCCATTCCTTGTGCATTTAATCGAAAAACTGGTCTTTCCTTTTTATTTGTAGGAGGGCGAGCATTTAACATTCTCTGAGTAAAAACGTTGGTTTGAGGTCACACTAACAATCAACAAATTAATTGATCAATATCAAATAATCATCTCTCTTTTCGTTATGCAAACTGTCAATCAACCAACCAATTAAACTTTAATGATAAATGAATGATAAATTCGTCAACTTTGACATAATGCAAAATTTCAATCAAAACAACCAACATAGCCACATGTAGATATCCGTAATGTTATTTTTAATCATGCTACTATTGTTGATGAGAACTGTTTACATATGTCTGATAATGAAAAAATGATATTTCTTTTTACAAATGAAAGTATGGTATTTTATGCTGCCAAAATCTGCAATGAAATTTTATTAAAGCGAAAAAAGAATTTTAAACTCTTGATAGTTGACTTGTATTTGTATTATACTTAAAAAATTGTTTTATAGTTTCTCATAACTCTTTATAGAGTGGCTCTTTTTGTTATCTTGTTTTTTACTATGCTGTATATTTTATATGTAACAAGTGGTAAGACTTTAATAAAGTATTTTTCTTGTTTTGTCTGTCTTGTCTTGTACCAACCATCTAAAACCAACAAATCAACAAATGAATAAGAGCAACTTGTTACTTGATGTTATACTTATATTTAGCATCAAACCAATCAACCGATAATCATGTTAGAAAAAATGGAATGACTTTCACTCACGATTGTTTTCAATGTATTGGTAGCAATTAGAAAAGCTATTTATGCACTGATTTAATCAAAATTAAGTGCATCCTTTTGAGATGATCCCTTATTTAAATGTGTCAACGGTAAACATTTTATTAATCAATTCAATTCTTATCTGTCATACTCTTCTGATATATCATTTATCATACCCGTACAACTTTTGATACACACATGACGTCTGTTAAACAAGTTCGTTGAGTCTTTTTTGAAAAGCAGAAAAGGGTTCATTGTGTAAAACGGAAGAATATGTTCTGATTAACAAGGTTTGTGAAAAATTATGATGAAGGTTAATTAAACCAAAACAATAAATACAATTAACATATTTGTAGAACTTTCGAATTCAAGTGTGAATTTCAACATAATGTGTAACAGTTACATACCGATTGCAAATGTATGCAACCAATAAATAAATCATGATCTTCCAGACAAAAAATATAAATCAGTATACATCAAACATGTCAAACGAATTTAGTGTAAGGACTTCAATAACAGTCTGAGAAAAGAATGATTCTGTGCAATGCAAAAATATAATTATATATGTAGTATGGTCATGATGTAGAACATACGTTTTCATAACTGAATAGCAATACATATTAAGTTATATGTTTTAATTTATTAAAGAGATGATCAATGTTAGTACCGATAAAAACATATTCAAAGATCGTTCTACGGTGTAAAATTAATAACCTTTTGGAATAACTATACTCAACGGACGAATGAGTTTACATTGAGCGTATCTAATTAACGGGTTCTATAAACAACATGCATGATAACCGGGAAAAAATAAGATGTGATATCCCGTTTGTTATAAGAATTTTACAGGTACAGCCAAACTTCCAAACCAAATATTTTTATATATGAAAGAATTTAGCAAAAGTTTGAAGTTACTTTAGGTAACCATTCGGAAATCCCTGAATTCAAAATTTACCAGTTATATAGACACGGGCATAAAGAACAAGTTGGAAAATATACACACCGTAAAAAAATGCCAAGGAACAACAACAAAGAAGGAAGATTAACACCAGCAAACGAAAATAGTGTCTCTTGTCGTAAATGTTTGAATCAAGTTTCCAGTGTGAAACTAAAATATCTAAATCTAAAAACAGACAATTACAGCTGTTTTTATTTGCTCTTTTTAAAGTAAGTATCCTTAGCTAAAATTCGCAACATGACACAGAGTTCTTGGTTATTTGAAGAAAAACTATCAAAGTGAAGTTAAGTGTTATTACATTTATTACATAAAGTCCACACGTGTCTGAAATTGTACCAAATTCGCAATAAAAGACGGGGATTTACAGAAAAAAAACATTTCCACAAAATATTAAGTATGATAACCTTAGATCAAATGTTCGATGGACATTTTTCTTCAAACGGGAGGTAGATTGCAGAAATGTAGCACATTAAAGGAAATCAGTTGTGGCTTAAGCAGAAAATCCACGTGAAAATGAAATAAAGGGCAGTAACGGAACACAGTAATGCAACTATTTGACGGTTGTTTTAAATTTGAATGGTAATTTATTTTACGTACATGGATTTAAATTGTACTTCCATATAAAGTGTTATGAAATACATTCGAAACTTTTAGTCGAAGACGAACTACTTTCAACCGTAAAATACCCATGTTAATTTCAAATAAGTTATAAATTCACAGAACACTGAGCTCGAAAAAACATTCATATACATGTAATAAAAATCTATTCTAACTTAGATCAAAAGTACGATGAATTTAACACAGATCGGAACACCAATTAGAGATTACAAACAGCTACCAAAGTGTGAGTACAGTTACGAGTTGCCTCCATCACTAAACCAAGTCATCTAGATACAGAATCAGTAAATGTATCTTGAATTTTATTTAAATGTATTACTTACAGCTTGAAATGGTAAGCTCTACAACCCTATCATGCAGTTTTCTATGTTGTGTTTTTTGTACTGTTGTTTTTCTTTTGGTCTTTTTCTTTTTTTGCCATGGCGTTTTCATTTAATTTTCGACTTGTGCGTTAGAATGTCCCTTTGGTATCTTTCGCCTTTCTTTTAAAAGGAGTATCATGTTAGTGTTTGATGTATAATCATTTACACTACTAAGTGTTGAACTATAAAACACAAGATTGAAATGTTCAGTGAAACTCAAAGTAGAACTTATAACCGTCAAAAGAATAGACTGTTGTTATTTTTGTGAGGGGACAATCAAAAATCATAATTCTAATAAAAACCGACAACACAATGGATAAAAAGAAAAAAACGACAAAAAGACGAACAACAAAGACAAAATAGACACATAAAAGATTACTTAGTTTCTTTTTATCTTTGTATAACAGCAATATGTACAGGTTCAAAATACAGATACATTTTTTATTGCCTCTTAGTGAAAGAGTGTTAACAAAAATGTTAAATTCAAAAAGGGGACATCCATACAAACTGACAAAATCAAACGTAAGACTGTATCAACCAACGGAGCGATTGGAAAACAACTGTCATATTTCCGACTTGGTACAAGCAATAGTGTCACTATATTGAAATATATTAGCGTTTGTCATAAACAACACTAAAAGCTCAGATCGTGAAAATTATAAAGGGAACATTACCAGGTCGTTGAATAGACTTCTATCGAAAGGATACATACTGAATTCTGTAAATGATGTCCTTTTATAGAACAGTTGTACATGCATAAGTTGTAACATAAAACTCACTATTCATATATATAACGGTTGTCGTTTGTTGATGTATATCATATTTGTTTATCGTTTATTGTTTGTACATTAATCAGGCCGTTAGTTTTTCTCTTTTGAATTGTTTTACATTTGTCATTTCGGGGCCTTTTATAGCTTGCTATATATTTATTATGTGTTTTGCTCATTGTTGAAGGCCGTATGGCAACTTATAGTTGCTTACTCTATGTCATTATCTTATTTTCATATACAATAGATGTTATTGCATGTCACTATGGAAGCAGCACAACAAACACAACATACAAAAATAGAAATCTATGGGATAACACCCGGTCATCAACAACAAACACTTGTCTTTACTATAGTGTTAAGCTGTAAATCCCCGAGAGTCTAGAATAGTTTGGAATAAATTATTTTAGTGCATGTCAGTAAAGGAACAGCTCAACAGCACAACAAAACCAAAATAGAAATACAAGGGTTCACTTCCGGATTTCAACAACAAGCAATTGTCTAATCTCTAGTATTAGACTGGAAATTCCCAGACAAGTCGATAAATGTTGTATATATGAGTTTTCATCTTTGTCTCGTCAACAATGTCTTTTTTTGTGATTAGGTCAATTTAAGGGGAACCACTAGTGGGGTCAATGATATTAGGTATGCAAGTGTATTATCATTTGCATGTTTCATTTGCATGGAGATTATTTTACCACGCTCCCTTAGTCAAGGTCTATTGACTTTGAAACCCTGCTTAGTATACATGGATAAGTGTGTGATTAGAATACTTTAAGAGGAACAACTAGTGGTAGGTCAATTATATTTGGTATGCAGTTGTATTAGCTTTTGCATGGAGATAATTTGTCCCCGCTCCCTCAGTCATAACATTTTGACTTTGAAACTTTGTTAGTATGCTTGTATAAGTTTGTGATATGATCAGTTTCAGAAGAACAACTAGTGATAGGTCAATGCTTTGTATACTGTTGTATTGGAATTTGCACGTCTCATGTCCATGGAGATTCCTTGGCCCCGGTCAATGCTTTTTGATATGCTGTTGTATTAAAATTTGCAGGTCTCATGTCCATGGAGATTCCTTGGCCCCGCCCCTTAGTCATGCAATTAGAAAAAAATACAATGTTTGATGTGTAGGATTTGTTATTAGTTTAAAGTACCGTTTGTCGTCTTATTGATCTACCCTAGATATCCCAATGCTTACATTTTTTAGATGACACCTACTTTCATTGAAAAGTTAAAGAACCCAGTGGTAATGATGGAAGCAATCATCCTTTTGATTGTCCTTCAGGTATGTATAATTTAAATTTAAAAGACTTTGTTTTTAAGAAATTGGTAACAAAATTAGTTTCTTCCAATGTTTAGCTAAGAAGCAGTGTACTGAATAGGGTTTTTTTTTTTATTTACTCTGGATGTCCGGCTAAAAATGAGTAGTCATGAAGTTTTTACACTTAATCCGTTGGATGTGTATACTGGTTGACATTGTAGTGTTTTTTGACAATATTTTTTTAAAATTCTATGGCAAGCCGTTTTACTATTTATTCTAATTTCAAGATATCTCATGTAATATATAAGATATCTCATATAATATACAAGATATCTTTTATAATCTAGTTTTTATAAGATATCTAGTTTATAAGATATCTAAAAAAAATTATAAGATATCTTATATACTTTATAAGATATCTTATATACTTTATAAGATATATTATATACTTTATAAGATATCTTCTAAAGTATATAAGATATCTAATAAAGTTTCTTAGATATCTCATAAATATTTTTTATATAAAATATCTTATATACTTTATAAGATATCTCATATATTTTATAAGATATATAGTTTATAAGATATCTCATTTAGTTTATAAGATATCTTATAAACTATATAAAATATCTTATAAACTTTATGAGATATCTTATAAAGTTTATTAGATATCTTGAGGTTATAATAAATAGTAAAACGGCTTGCCATAGCTATAAGTAACTGCATGTTATTAATCTTAGATTGGTACTTTGTGTCTTTTGTTCTTTTATAAGTTTTTTTGTGTGCTTTGTACCGATGTAATTATTCAAGCCTTTTTCAACTGAATAATACAATTTATTTTAAGTTGTGACTACTGTCCCCAGTTAGGAGAGGATTGAGAGCTAACA